TATTTCTGGTGTGATTCAATCATGACTATAAAATTGGCGTTATACTTTGTCTTAAAATTCTTATTTGTCCTTTCCGATTCTCGGACACCCTATGTTGGCTTGGGTGCTCTCGATCCATTATCACTTCTTAATCGAGAAACCAAAAATATCTGGACAAATAGGGATTATAAGATTAATTTTAAAATCACAATCTGAATTTTGCTCGCTTATTTCTGCTCCACAGACTATTATGCATGCTTCAATTTCATTGATTCGTAGTGTAGGGAATATTTGCGAGCTATTTTCACCCACAAAATATGCTTTTCTCCTGATGCTTTTGCTTTCATCAGAAATTTGCTAAGGTTCACTTGTTGAGCTTACTTCCATTTCTAGTGAAATTGTTTGGTGAAGAGTTTCGAGAGTCGATCCCACCAAAAGACTACGGTGGTTTCCTTCTGACCAGCTGTCGATTGGCTTCATCGGAATCGATGGAGCTTGACTCGGAAACTGCATCAACAAGAATGTTCCAGTAATGTTCCTTCACCAAACACTTTCACTAGAAATGGACCTAAGCTCAATAATTGTGAAATAGAAGATTCCTCTAAACTTAACTTTTATTCGCATATACTAAAATTTTATTTTCTTGTGGAATTAGCTACTTCTTATTTGGCTAAGAATTTCCGGATAGTTTTTGGATTTGCATACCTTTTGCTTAAACTAATATTCTAAATGTAATAACGCCACTTAGTGCACATTCTAATGTAGCTATCATTATTCTTGGTTGATTAATTGACTATGGCCTGGGGCGTTGTAGATATCTGGGCTATCATCAGGTATTCTCTGTATGCGATTTCACTAATCATTTTAATAAATGCTCTTGTATGCCATTAATATTTCTTTTTTAAGTTTGTCTTTTATAATTGGAAGTTTTATTTACTATTAGTAAGACTGCTTTTAAAATTAACTAAAGCAGTTATGCAGTGATGTTAATCAACATTTAAGAGTTGGTGTGAAGCTTAAACGAATAGGTTCTGAATTTCATTATTAGTCAGTCAAAAGTAATTTGATTATGGCTCGGATTCAGTTTAATGGTGAAAAAAAATCTTTATTGTTCTTGTATTTGAGCTTTTATTATTCTTTAAGCTTAAATATCTTTCTAAAAATTTAGATGCGATCATGTTTCTTGAGTTATCCGTGTCGATGCAATGATCGAATTTAATTTCACTGTTTTTGTAAGAAAGTAGACTCATTGATGATGAAAATTCCGCCCCATCAATATCCCAAACTTCAATGAAAATTCGATCACTTACTTTATGAATAACTTGAAAATTCACGACTATTTTGACACAACTTAATTGGATTTATGCTGTATTCTAAATTCTAGATAGAGTAGCATTTAAATAGCCATCTTAGATACGAAGAGTAACTGGGTTTCTATGAATTTCCCGTTTTCACCCGAAGCGAGGTAGGATGTCTCGTGGACTGCGTCAACCTGAACATAGTAGTAAATCAAAACGGCTGTAGCACAACGGATTCAGCCGTCGTCTTCTGGTGAGATCAATTTACGAACCTCTTTTCCATGCACTTTCATACGAAATTAAGGTCTCGCCAACGTAGTCATTTTAGTCTAAATTGAACATTCAAAATTCAGCCTTTTTATAGGCGATGTGGCCACTGCAGCTAACTTTTGGATGATAAATTACTTCTACGACAATCTGTATAATTTATTTACTTATTAATTTAAGCCTTTTTTTACTTCTCTATTAGTGTTCATTTATTGCCTGTTTTTCTTAATGAAGAATGCTCTCATTG